CCGAAAACTCATCCCACCTGACTCTGAACATGAAGAACGAAGTCAGCTTAGGCGCAGGCTGATAAAAAGCCTGCGCAACGACCGTGAACAGTGGTGGGCGGCGAAAGCGATGGAAAAGGCAGCGGCGATCGGCAACAGTAGACAACTTTTCCGACTTAGCAAGGAAACTGGTATTAGGAATCCTAGTGTAAGTGAGACTATCTCGGAAAGGGATGGGACTATTATCCATTCTCAATCCAGGAGACTGGATCGATGGGCAGAACACTTAAGGGATCAGTTCAACTGGCCTCGAGCTACTCTTCGGTTGCCCACGATCTCCAGTCATCCTGAATGGCAAATCGATATAAGTCCCCTTAGTCTTTATGAAGTTGAGAAAGTGTTCGGAAATCTGAAGCAAGGGCGAGCTGCAGATCCTGATAGACTGACTCCTGAGATATTTAAGGATGGTGGTCGAGTCTTAGCAGCTAGGTTGACTGAGATCATAGGTAGAATCTGGGAACTGGACACAATCCCAACCGACTGGTCTCAATCACTGATTGTCCCAATCTATAAGAAAGGACAGGAGTCTTCTTGTGACAATCACAGAGGAATAAGTCTAATTAATGTAGTTTCTAAGTTGTTAGCCTCGATTATACTTAGACGCCTTACTAGTGCTCGTAAAGAGCAGACATGTCTGGTTTCCGACCTGGACGTGGTTGTATAAACCACATTTTCACACTACGACAGGTCCTGGAACACAGACACACATTTAGACGTCCGACAATAGTCGCATTCCTGGACCTAAAAGCGCCATTTGACTCAGTGGATCGTGAGGTTCTGTGGCAGTGTCTGTCATTGAAAGGTGTAACAAAGAAGTACATTAACCTCATACAAGCTCTCTACTCAAACACCACTGGTCGAGTGAGAGCTTATGGCGAACTGTCATCGGAATTCCTCACTTCAAGTGGTGTCCGTCAGGGATGTCCACCTTCTCCGTTCTTGTTTAATTTTATCATAGACATGCTCCTGGAAATAACCCTATCCTCGTTTGAATTTTCAGGAGTAGACCTTTGACCAGGTGGCTCGCTTATTGACTTAGAATATCCCGATGGCATATTCTTACTTGGTGAAGACGCTGACAAAATACAGATTGGGTTTCATCGGCACCTGAACTAGTTATAGGGAGTGAAGTAGTCGAGCGTGTAGACCGCTTCACTTATCTGGGGAGTCTCATCAGTGTTGATGGCCTGGTGACTGAAGGAATCTCAGCTCGGATACAGAAGGCTCGATTGGCTTTTGCCAACCTGCGTCACTTATGGTGCAGGCGAGATATCCGCTTGCTATCCAAAGGACGAGTGTACTGCGTAGCAGTTTGCTCTGTCCTAGTATACGGATGCCAAACATGGCCGTTAAGAGTAGAGGACATCCGTAGGTTACTAGTCTTCGATCATCGATGTTTAAGAAGCATTGCTCGTGTATCGTGGGACGACCGAGTAAGCAATCCTATCGTTAGGAAACCAGTTCTAGGTAAGGATGGCAAATCAGTTGATGAAGTATTGAAACTTCATCAGTTGACGTGGTTGGGACCTTGAACAACATGACTCAGAATCGTTTGCAATCGCGCAGGTGCATCTACTGTTTCTGTGCTTTTTAATTCTTACCTTGTGAATTCCTCATCACATCTATCTTTCTCCTTCTAAATTTATCTCACTGAATTATACTTTTCGAATCATATCTTCGCTCCCTAATCTTCCTTATTGCTGCTAATAATTCTACTATCGCTACCATTCTTGGATTTGAACTGACATTTACGTCTCTGTGCTGATGTTGTATGGCAATCTGAACTGATGTACTTGTGTACGAAGTTCTGCGCTGTATCCTTCTGTCTGTCTGTCTAGTCGAAGAATATCTTTACGACTTTGGGGATGGGTTGGGATATACTTAAGTTTGAGAAATGGGATATGTCCAATGTAACTTGATAATCATCCAACAGAGATACAGATTTTCTTTACCATCTCCAAACTCATTCATTATTAATTACTCTAAATTACGAAGCGTGATTCACCGACCATGTGTAATAAGAATCTGATGTTGATGTGAATTATCATTTGGTGTGGTAGGTTCGCATCATTAAACTGTCGTCCTAATGTTATCTACCACCACGAGAATTTTCGAAATGTAATTAACAATGACTATTCAGGTAGATAATCAATATAATTTGGAACTCATCCAGTTAGATATATCCATAGGCTAATAGCCGAAATAATTCAAAGTTAGCAATCATCTCCTAAAATACTAGTGAACCAACAGGAAACAATCTTCACAGGTTATTTTTCATACTACCGGTTTACGACTAAATTATATTTCTGATGTTCAGTAGATCAAACTCCAGTTAGCACAATGTAAGAAAGAATTTTTTCAAAGTGATATATTCGGTCAAGGACTTGGAAATCAGTAAGCTGGCTACACTGAAGAACTTTGTACGCACAAACCTCAGTTCAAGTTGCCACACCATATAAGAGCACACAGATAGAATTGTTGATTTTAATTCCATGGAACCAGAGGTCGTAGAGGCATGGCGGTAAAACAGCGGATTAGGGTTTGAAGATATTATTCAAAAAACATAATCCAATGAAATAAATTTTAAAACAGAAAGATAAAGTTGATAAGTAGTTCGGAAGATAAGAATTCGATGTAAAACAAAGAATGGATGGATCTGCAACATTGTAAACGGTTTTTCGCCAAGTCATTTGAAGTCTCCAACTATGCGTTGCTATCGTTTAACGGATCCCAATCAGGTAGTCTACACTTATCAACACGGCTCAGCCCACCTGACAGTAACTTCATGGATTTGTGCCCTGTTTTGGTTCAGATTATGGTGGTCAGAACACTCTGTATTTTGTTAGTGTCTTCATCAAATAGAATTATGTCATCTCGTATTGTAAGTCAACGAACGAATCTCCTGGTAAAGCTTTAACTCTTTAAATGTCAGATGATTGAATTGTCGTGTATAAAACCATGTCAATGACGAAGTTGAATAAGAATGGAGAAAGTGAGCAACCCTGACGAACACCACTTAAAGTGATCAGTTCCGATCACAAGTCACCAGTTAATCTTTTCTTCCTGCCACCCGTAGTTTTCTTCCATACAATTTCCCTCTATATAAAACCGGTTGCCACGACAGTCGGTTGTCATACGCATGTAACACGTCCTTCGCCCACCTAAATTGATGATTTTTCACTACTTTTATGAATTAGCTACCCTCATCTAATATAATTCCTAACAACAGGATTGGTTACTCAATTGTTTCAGGATAAACGAATAGTGCTAGTGACTAATTTGGTCGAATAATAATAGGTATATCGCGTCTTTTTCACCAACAGTATCATCAAATAACCTCAACCAATTCACGTTTTCTCTCATTGTCGTATATCTTTATCTTTGATTCGCTCACTCCTGTTTATCGGTCTTCTCTACTTTTTGCGTTAGCTTGATACTTCTGATCATCATCTGTCCTCCAAATTTCAACCAAATAACTTTCTGCTTGATGATGTTAAAGCTGTTGTTCCTAGGAACTCTTATTCTCCCACTTGAATTCATCCACTCAGGTAATGAGTTTATGTTTTGTGCCTTGACTTTTTAAGAGTTTCCTATAACGTGAGTAAAATATTTACTTTGAGGTATGATGTCACGATTAATGGGCTTACTAAAGAAATGTGTAAATATTCGAAAGTTTGGGGTGAATTTAAATACTTACGTCCGTTCATTCCACAAAGTATTCTGATAGGTTTTCACGGGTTTTAGTTCTAGAACCTTATTATCTTTCTAATTCGCGGAAATGGCCTCTCACAGCATGTACTGTCCAGGTCATAGATATTCCGAAATGATTTTGAACTTTGGAGAGGAGTTTTCGGACAAGATCAAAGGTGTAACCCGCAGAAAAATCTGGCCTGACATCAAAGATGGGCGGATTACAAATGACCTACTTTCAAAAATTCAAAATATAAAAACTTCCATAATAGAAATGTTGTTCACTACGCATTTAAGTTAGTTAAATCCTCTCTGTAGATATCTCAATTTAAAGAAATGTAGGATTCTTGTTGCCTTAAGATCTTATGTCTCACTCAAACTTCATTAAAATTACCCTCCGAACAAATCTTGAATTGGCAATATTAAAACACATTGTCGTCCAGTTCGATGGCAGAACGCTGCACTTGTTCTCCAAAAGTTTTATTCGACCTCATAATCCGGGATAGCCTGTGCTAGACTACTTCTGGCATCCCTTAGCTAGGTTGTTGCACTAACTGCTGGATGTCCAAACTATCGTTCAAATATACTCTGCATCCTTTATATTCCTTACTCCTAGCTTAACGTGGTGCAGGATATTTCACCATAATTACTTTTCATATTTCATTCGTTCGTTAAGTATACTTAGTCACCTCCACAAAGACCTCGCTGATCCATTGTAACTGAATTGGAAGGCCTGTTAAAGGGGTAGCTTTCACTTCGTTCACAACTATTTGAACCATTTTACAAGATTTACACTCCTGCCTGAATGAGTGCAGCACAAGAAGATAACACAAAGAACAACTCAATTCTAGCTTCACCGACCGATTAAATAATGTACCAATACGCCTCGAAACCTGTTTATTTTTATCATTATCACTACATTGTACACTATACTAACTTATTCTATCCCACTTATTATCTTTGTCTCCATTCCACTCATGCACTTTGTCATCTCAATACTTTCTACTCCATCAATTATGCGACTTACATATTTATCTCATTACTGAAGCAGTCTTCTCTTTAGCATTAGCTTTCTCTCTTCAATATTCCCGAAACTGAAATCAATTTATCTTTCACCTAGTAATGTGATAGCTGTCAGTATCCTGTAAGTTTACTGCCCTGAAACAAACGCATTCATTCAAATTATAGTCGGTGCCAACTCCGATAAAGAACTATCGAGTTTACTAAATAAGTGCAGTCTTGTGGCTCGACTACTATCCATTGAACAAAAGCTAAAACTTGGAGCCATACAAGAAGGACGAGAAGCAGTCGGAAAAAAATCATCTGGTTCATACTAAATGGTGAAAGGAATATTGGATTTATTGTATATTAGATGTACACTAGATTGGCATGTAAATACTGAATATTGAATGAACCTTGAAGAGACGCGTGGTTTCGTCTTTTTCTCGTGTCTCGAGTTGGGGCTTCAGTGATCACTGGTTGTTGTTTATTGCTGTTCTTGTTAAGTATTAGTAAGTACTATACATTTGCTGAGTGGTCAGCTCACCTCTTCTTTTGTTACTTTTTCCAGTTTTCCCCACTTACGCTACTCTGCAACTCCTAATATATAATATATCTCCTGACTGGACATAAATTGCTACGCTTGTGATGAGTAACAGTTGCAGTGAAGATTTTTCCGAGGGTGAGCAGAAGAAAAGCCGGAGTAAGGATTCGAAGACAAAGGTGGAGGACGAGTCAATGGAAGTAGATGAGTCTACGATCAAAAATGAGGTTTATATCCTGGGTCGTTCTCGTCCACTTGAGGACGATGAAGAGCTAGTCATGGATAAAAATGCCTATAGAATGTTTTTCGAATTAGAAGTAGAGTCGCCAAGTCTCAGTTTCGACATTTTAACAGACAACCTTGGCTTTGACCGCTGTGTTGAGATTAATGGTGAAGCTCACAGTGTTTGCCTTATTTCGGGGACAGAGGCACCAAAAAATCATCAGAACAAACTTGTAGTCATGCGTCTATGCAATATGGTGCCGTTTAAAAGAAAGGTTAGCTGCAATTAAAACTAAGATGAATACTATATCTCTTAGAACTTCATGTGGTTTCGTCCCATTGGTGATTTTAGTGTTCTTGAGGGAGATTAAGCATCTTAACTGCATTACCTAGTACTATGCTAACCTTTTTCCTGTGTACACCAGTTATGGTGGGGCTATGAAGTTTTTACTATGAACTAGGTGATCTTAACGAGGTAGTCAGTTTTCAAACACTTGGAAACGGGCTATCATGAAAGAATCTCAAGGTGAGAAATGTGTTATAGTTCCCATTGCCTCGAAGTCAGTGTTAATGATCTTGCTTGAAATTAAATTGTAACCAAATTTTCGATCCAAGTAAGATTGAGTACCGTAACGATCTCTACATTGCCGTTATAGTTTTTTCTCCAACCACTCAGTGGTCAACCTTATTCAGTTAAGCTTAACCCCAGTGCATACCCATCCTCCAGTGTGTTTTTAGAAGACCGGTTATTTAGTTTAGCCATCCAGCCTTCAGTCGCTGTCCTCCAGACAGTTTAAAGTCAGTTTGCTATTATTTTGGTTTGTATCTCATTACTTCAGAATCTGTTAGCTTGTTTAGAAGTCGTGCTGGAGTTTAAAGCTAGTTATCTGTAGTATTCTGCACTATCCTCTAACCATTAGCTTCTGGTTTCTTAAAAATTCTTGATTTCTAAAATATAGTTGATCAAGTATTTGAATAAAGGCCAACGAATATATGTTACTTTAAACTACCGTAGTCATTTTACCTTATATAACACTTGTCTCTCTGATACCCACAGGTTTCTACCGAAGACACGCACTCTGATTCAGATGATGAAAGTGATTCTGAAGAAGAAGACTTAGATGCGGAACCTGAGATTGAGGCTGTTACTATCGTACATCAAGGTACAGTCAATCGAGTCCGAGCCAAGCAACACAGGGGTCGATACCTTGCTGCATCCTGGTCAGAAAATGGATTGGTTAGCATTTTGAATTTTGATGTCTTTATTTAACATACTATTTGATAATGGTAATTCGGTAGATCTACAGTTAAATTTACGTAGGTTAAATCATTTAAAGCACGTATGTAACCGTTATTATACAGCTTGTGAATATAGCGCTGAGTAAATACTATAGTCGGTCGGCTAACTGAATACCTTTCATTTTGGTTAACTTCAATTATTGATAGTAGTCCATTTTGACACTGTGTTATCATCGGTCGTATAAAACACTTCCTTTGATTTGGTAGACTTTCAGCTTCAGTTTACTGAAGTGATGTTTACATTTTTGATCACCATCATTGGCATGAGTAACTTAGAGTTTCTAATCAGTCCAGCTGTGATTTTATATCAGACTGGACAAAATAATATAACTAATTTGTGTATTCGTATATAAACCACTTCCATTACATACAAGTCGGCTATACTACCCGATGAGTCAGTCAGATGCAACGTAAAACTTCATACGTAAGTACACCAGTTCATGTTGCCATACCACATCAGCACAGAGATATAATTATCAATTCAAATCCAATAGTAGAAGAGGAAGTAGAGCTATCAGAAGCAATGGAAGAGGTTATGATTAGAAAGTCAAAACAAGAGGTGTTGAAGCATCCAGAAGATTAGGATTTGAGGGAACAGTTGAACTGATCCCTAAAGTGTTCTGCCCATTGGTCCAGTCTCCTGGATTGAGAATGGATAATAGTCCCATCGTTTTCCGAGATAGTCTCACTTACACTAGGATTCCTAATACCAGTTTCCTTGCTAAGTCGGAAAAGTTGTCTACTGTTGCCGATCGCCGCTGCCTTTTCCATCGCTTTCGCCGCCCACCACTGTTCACGGTCGTTGCGCAGGCTTTTTATCAGCCTGCGCCTAAGCTGACTTCGTTCTTCATGTTCAGAGTCAGGTGGGATGAGTTTTCGGGCATCCATCAGATCGGTGGATGCTACTGAGATCCAGGGCTTCATCCTCCCTTATGGTCAACCTTACTAGCAGATATCAGTGCTGTTTCCACAGCCTTTTTGATATCATTCCAACCTGACTCCGGATGGGAATCACTTGCATGGTCGCCTAACTGTCTTTCTAGTTGTTCCTGAAATATATTTTTCGCCTTATTATCATCAAGTAAAACCCTGAGAGGCTTTCCTTTGCCCAGTAAGCCTCAAACAAATACGCGCTCGCATTAGGGCATGATCTGAATCTAAACATGTGCCCCAGAACGAGCGACAGTCTTCTATCGAACCCGTCCATCGGTGGCTGATGGCAATGTGATCTAGTTGGGTCCAACGTTGAGACGACTTTGGAGGTCGCCAGGTCAACAGATGCTTTTCGTTATGCCTAAAGTTAGTGTTTGCTAAGAACAGGCGGTTGTCTGAGCATGCTTGCAACAGACGGTCACCATTGTCTGTTCTCTGAGCCGCGACACCATAACATCCACCTAGGTGTCTTTCATTTTCACTTAGTCTACCTACTTGAGCATTGAAGTCACCAGCCATTAATACTATATCAGAGCGCCTAGCTTTTTGGAGGAGGTTCGAAAGCTTTCTGTAGAATTCATCTTTCACCTCGTCTGAACTGCAGTCAGTAGGGGCATAGGCTGATACGACGAAGAAGCAACGCGGGTGTCCCTATCTTTCCGAGTCCTTACTGTCTCGTTCAGTCGGACAGCGCACAAGCGACTATCTACTGGGATCCAGTCTAGGAGAGCTAGTTCTGCCTCAACGCTATGCCTACACCAGCGAGACCACGGGAAGCAGCATCAGGGCTACCGGATACACGAAGGGTAAATCGAGCTGCTTCTTTATTTTGACAAGGTGAAATCAGATTAATAATTTTACTAAGATCCTGTATGCGCGTTTCCGAGACGCAGCATACATCGATGGTACGAGATTCTAAAGTCGTAGCTAATGATGCCTGTTGCCCTATTTGACACAATGTCCATACATTAAATGCTCCAACATGTAGTCTAGAACGAGGTTTCAAGAGACCAGGAATGACGTTACGTGAACTCGCGTCGTTTGCATTGGCGGTGCAGCCAGATAAGGGAATGTGAGTAGAGTTAGTTGTGGAGAGAAGAGAGGTATGTGTGGGTGTAGGAAGGATTTGGTCTCACGTGCTGTTACAGGTATGAGGGTGGTTGTCACTTTCCGGCTGCCCACACCGTGGAAAGTTGTTTCTTGAGGATTCTGAAACGGAAGATAGATTTCCGTCTCCGTCGGTAAGGGTGCCCGCTACGGGCATTTGAGAGCGGACTTAATACTCAAAAATCCTTTCCAAAAAGGCTGTGCGTGACCGGCCTCAAGCAGTTGTCCGTTGGACTCTGCGGTCACACTCCCAGGTTTTCAAGATGAACACTCATCTATCTTCCGTTTCAGAAAGGATAAAAGTCATCTTGTGACAATCACAGGGGAATAAGTCTAACTAATATAGTTTCTAAATTGTTAGCGTCGATATTACTTAGACGTCTAACTAGAGCTCGTGAAGAGCAGACTCGAGAAAACCAGTTTGGTTTTCGACCTGGACGTGGTTGTATAGACCACATTTTCACACTACGACAGGTCCTGGAACACAGACACACATTTAGACGTCCGACAATAGTTGTGTTCCTTGACTTAAAAGCGGCATTTGACTCAGTGGATCGTGAGGTTCTGTGGCAGTGTCTGTCATTGAAAGGTGTAACAAAGAAGTACATTAACCTTATACAAGCACTCTACTCAAAAACTACTGGTCGAGTGAGAGCTTATGGCGAACTGTCATCTGAATTCTCTACATCAAGTGGTGTTTGTCAGGGCTGTCCACTTTCTCCATTCTTGTTTAACTTTGTCGTAGACATCCTCTCAGAGTTAACATTATGCTCGTCAGGTTTTTCAGGGGTTGACCTTCTGCTAGGAAATTCGCTTACTGATATGGAATATGCCGAAGACATAGTTTTATTCGGTGAAGTCGCTGACAAATCGCAGAGTCTTTTGACTACCATAAGCAACAATGCAAGCATGCTCACATGCGGTTCTCACCGTCAAAATGCAAAATGTTGCTTCAAGACTGGGTTTCATCGGCGTAATCGAGCGTGTTGATCGCTTCACTTATCTGGGGCAGTTCGCTTCGTTCTCTTATATGGCTGTGAAACATGGCCATTAAGAGTAGATGTTCGTAGGTTACTAGTCTTCGATCATAGGTGTCTTCGAAGCATTGCTCGTATACCGTGGGACAACCGAGTAAGCAATGCTGTCGTTAGGAAACGAGTACTAGGTAAGTATGGCATAGCAATAGATGAAGTGGTGAAACTTGATTAGTTGAGGTGCTTGGGATTTGTGTTACGAATGCCTAACCACCGACTGCCTCGAAGAGCCTTGTTTTGTGGTGTAGGAGTAGGTTGGAAGAAAGCTAGGGGCGGCCAGACCAAAACATGGCAGAAATCCATGAAGTCACTGACTAGTGGACTGAGTCATGTTGGTAGATGTAAACTACCTAGTTGGTGTCCGCGAGACGAAAGTCACCAATGGTTAGAGACCTTGAACGACATGGCTCAAAATCGTTTGCAATGGCGCCGGTGCATTTATTCTTTGTGTTCTCTCAAATCCTAATCTTCTGTATTTGTCAGCACCTCTACCTTTGTCTTTCTAACCTTATTTCACTTAATTATACTTGAATAATATCTTCGAACCCTAGTCTTCTTAATTATCATTAATTTCTCTACTATCTTTATCACTATGGGATTTGATTTGACATCTGCGTTTTTGTGCTAATGTGGTATGGCAACATGAACTTATGTACATTCGTACGTAGTTCTACGTTGCAACTGACTGACTGACTGCCTAAAGTGGTCAAAATACTGCATTTTGTCACCGTCTTCACCAAGTAAAACTATGTCATCGGCATATTATAGGTCAGCTGGTGAATCTTTTGGAGAAGGTTACCTCCTGAAAAGTCAGACTAATAAATGTTTTTACTAAGATCATGCCTGTGACAAAGGTAAATAAGAATATAGAAGGTGAACAGCCCGGTCGGACGCCAGTTGAGGTATTCTGTTCCGATGACAGTTCTCCATAAGCTCGGACTCATCCTGTAGTGTTTGAATGTGTGACAGACACTGCCACAGGATCTCACGATCGACAGAGTCGAATGCCGCTACATGTTCTAACACCTAACAACTTGTCAATATCTGGTCTTTACATCCACATCCAGATCTGGAACCAACCTGGTTTTCTCTAGTCTGCTCTTCACAAGCTCCAGTTAGGTGTCGAAGTATTATTAAGGTCAATATTTTCGACACTGTTAGTTAAACTGATACCTCTGTGGCTGTCACAAAAGGACTTTTTCCTTTCTTATGGAGTGGGACAATCAGTGATTGAGACCAGTCAGACGGGACTGTGTCCAGTTCCTGGATTCTACCTAAAGTCTCAGTCAGTCTAACTGCTAAAACTGGACCGCTGTCCTCAAAAATCTTATAGATTAATCCATCAGGACCTGCTTTTTTCCCTACACTTTAAATTGCCAATAACCTTTTTAACGAGACCAACGATCAGAAGACTTGATAGAATTTTTTATTCAGGATGACTGAAGATGGTGGGTAATCAAAGTGTGGCTGAAGGCCATTAAAACTGCTCTACCCGTTGATCCAACTGGACTGGGAATAAATACTAGGCTTGTCTTTTTTCAAAATAGTCTCACTAACAGTTGGATTCCTAATAACGGTTTCTTTGTCAAGTCTGAATAGTCGTCTACCAATACTGTCTTTTCCATCTGTCCTGCCCTCGCTACTTACTACTGCTCACTATCATCGCGTAGGCTTATTGTCAGCCTGCGTTAAACTGCCTCTGTTACTCCTTATGTTCAGAACCAGACGGGATGAGTTTTCGAGCATCTATCAGTTCAGTAGATGCTACTGAAATACTCTGCTCCTACCTAAACATTTGTTTAAACTTACTGGCATTTTCCACTGATGTTTCTACAGTTTTTTGGATATCGTTCCAAGATGCCTCAAGATGGACATCACTCACATGGTTGCCTAACTGTATTTCTAGTTGCTATCGAAATATACTTCCGTCATTTGTCGTTTAGATGAACTCTTAGTGGTTTCCTTGCGGTATCTTTCTTACGTCCAGCAAGCCGCAGACGGGAAGTGGTGAACGATGCTCGTTAACTGCAGAACCTTTGGAATAGGTTATGGGATTGACCTGGTAATAACTTCCAGTGCTTTGCATAGAAAGTGTCTAGGGCGCGTTCTCAAGCTTGTGAAAGACTTGGTTATTGAAACCCAAGTCTTTATATGTGCGAAATTGTTTATTTTGGCCTTTAATCTTCCCTGATAAACTTAACTTCATTTTAATATTTAGAATGGTGCAAATTATTCTTTTCATATCATATTATTATTTGATTTATTCACAGTTACCATCTTATGTTTGAACTTTCGTTTCATTAACCTCTTATTTTCACATAAAATGCCTTGACATGTGTACGTGTGACTAGATTTTCCAAAATATCTAGCTCGGGTACGTCGGTTTTCAAATGAACTCCATCTTCTCATAACACTATAGAAGTTTATAAGAAAGACCAATTATCCTAAAGAAAGGAGTTAAAATAATTGTGTGCCTGCGACTTCTATTTTGGTCAGTTCATTGTCTCGAAACTTAATGAAAATAATGCAGCTAGCCGCGAGCAAAAATGGGATATTTCAGTAAAAAACCTCGACAGTGTATCAACTGATTATTAGTTTGTTTTTTTCACAAACCCGTTTTTTTGTTGCTCTTTATATCAGGGTTATACCATGGATTTTAAACCTTCATGCTTTTTCGGGCTGCATAGTAATATTCACTATTATGCTACACCAGCATCTTTCTAAACGTCTGAACTAATATACAGACTTAGTAGTAATGTAAGTAGTTTTTGATAATGCGATTACATAAACCTACAAAAAATTGTGTTCGATTCTATTGTGTATTTCTATTATACATAATATTCATCTGGTATACTAGGTTGGTTGAAAAGATAATTATATGATGCAAAAAGTTTATTGTTCTGTACTCGTTACTGGCATTCATCTTACTTCATCTAGGTATTCATATGGGATTTGACCAGACCGCTTACAGCCGTAAATGATTCAGCTGTTATGGCCGATTATGTGCGTCATAGTGAATCTCCTTCACCTTTGTTCACATTTAATGGTCATAATTCAGAAGGTTTTGCTTTGGACTGGAGTACTCACACTAATTCTTCTGGACATTTAGCTACAGGAGATTGTAATGGTCGTATTTATCACTGGATACCTAGAGTAAGTAAAGTTTCTACTTGTTAAAATTATCAGTCGTTCCTTATCCATGCTTAACTTTGCTAGGATGTAGACAAGTCAAGATGAATAAAAGTATGTTTTTATTCAAATTAGTTTCACGAAACTGTAAATTGATGCACACTATTTCTGTACTTACTCATACTGTAAAACCTGTAATTTTGAAATTAGAACATATTATTATGACCTGATTGATCTTAATAGGCTAATGTGGAGATACAAGAAACATACAAAAGATAGGATTCTCTGAGTGAGTTCCCAGGAAGCACTGTAGCTGAGTGATCTCATATATTGACTGAAAACTTTATTTTAAATACTTTTTCGTCCTAGTATGGCAGTATGACTCATAGATTAGCGAAACGTGTGTATAACATTTGTGTTACTTAGCTTTTTATTTATTATAAACATAACGCTGTTTCTTTTGTACTGCGACGACATTTTCGGTTGTGTGTGCGAAGCGTTCTTGACAACAGTACTATTATCGTGGAACCCAACCTCCGGGTGTCTGACCGCACTATTAAGAGATGCATAAAATCGGGCAGTCGAAAACGCAAAATTATCTACAATATAACACTGTTATTACGAAAAATACAAACTCCAATTCGTCAAGTGCCTTCAGCGTATAACGCATTCGTGTACAGTCAAAGAAGAATGCTTGCTTAAATGAAAATGTAAACGTCATTCACGACAACATAGAACAGACTATGACAGGCAATAGCTTTGTCGCGATTACAAAGGCAGACAATCATCGAAAGTGGGAACAAAGTGCACTAGAATGGAAACCTACGATAAAATAAAAGTCCCATAATTACACTAGGATTGGCACTAACTGTTACGAGTGTCAAGAATATGCATTTAAAATTGTAAATGAATTGAAGTTCACAAGGTTTTGTAAATACTTGAAATATTACACAATAGCAGGTAGACCATACACTCGAAATATATTATAGTTGAAACTGGTTAGGGAATATTAGAAACGAGTATAATGTTTTATACAAAAGTGCATTAAAAAATAAAACAAAATTAGCACATAGCATCTGTCGGTTCATCGTGACACTTCGACTTGGTTTAGAGAGAAACTGTTTTAATTTTATTTTAAATTCTCATTAAGCGTGAGAACTTCATTCAAAAAAACTTCGAATTTTCTGGTTTCAATTGTCAACTGAGTTATCTCTTCTTACTTGATTTTTACTCTCTTTAAATATTTTCTTGTTGCTCTGTTGTAAGCGCCCATAGTCAGTCAGTCAGTTGCAACGTAGAACTTCGGACGTAAGTACATCAGTTCATGTCGCCATACCACATCAGCACAGAGATGTAATTGTCAATTCAAATCCAATAGTAGAAGAGTTAGTAAGGGTATTAGAAGTAATCGGAGAGGTTAGGATGAGAAGATATTATTCAAGAAGTATGCTTAAATGAGAAAAGTTTAGAAAGTCAAAACTAGAGGGGTTGAGGAACCCAGAAGATTAGGATTTGAGAGAACACAAAGAATAAATGCACCGGCGCCATTGCGAACGATTTTGAGCCATGTCATTCAAGGTCTCTAACCATCGATTATTATCATCTCGCGGACCCCAACCAGGTAGTCGACAATTACCGACATGGCTAAGTTCACTCGTCAATGACCTCATGGATATCTGCCATTTTTTGGTTTGACCGCCCCTAACTTTCTTCCAACCTATTCCTACACTACAAAATAAAGCTCGATGAGGCAGTCGCTGGTTATGCATACGCAGCACATGTCCCAACCACCTCAACTGATGAAGTTTCAGTACTTCATCTATTGATCTGCTATTCATACCTAGCACCTGATTCCTAATAATAACGTTGCTTACTCGGTTGTCCCACGGTATACGAGCAATGCTTCGAAGACACCTATGATCGAAAACCAGTAACCTACGAATATCTTCTACTCTCACTGGCCATGTTTCACAGCCATAAAGTAAGACGGAGCGAACGACCGCACAGTACACTCGTCCTTTAGTCAGCAAACGGATATCACTCCTTCGCTATAAGTGACGCAGGTTGGCAAAAGCCAATCGAGGCTTCTGTATCCTTGCTGAGATTTCGTCAGTCACCAGGCCATCGGCACTGATGAGACTCCCAAGATAAGTGAAGCGGTCTACACGTTCGACTACTTTACTCCCTATCACTAGTTCAGGTGCCACTGAAACCCAGTCTTGAAGCAACATTTTGCATTTTGACGGTGAGAACCGCATGTGAGCATGCTTGCATTGTTGCTTATGGTAGTCAAAAGACTCTGCGATTTGTCAGCGACTTCACCGAATAAAACTATGTCTTCGGCATATTCCATATCAGTAAGCGAATTTCCTAGCAGAAGGTCAACCCCTGAAAAACCTGACGAGCATAATGTTAACTCTGAGAGGATGTCTACGACAAAGTTAAACAAGAATGGAGAAAGTGGACAGCCCTGACAAACACCACTTGATGTAGAGAATTCAGATGACAGTTCGCCATAAGCTCTCACTCGACCAGTAGTTTTTGAGTAGAGTGCTTGTATAAGGTTAATGTACTTCTTTGTTACACCTTTCAATGACAGACACTGCCACAGAACCTCACGATCCACTGAGTCAAATGCCGCTTTTAAGTCAAGGAACACAACTATTGTCGGACGTCTAAATGTGTGTCTGTGTTCCAGGACCTGTCGTAGTGTGAAAATGTGGTCTATACAACCACGTCCAGGTCGAATCACTTGCATGGTCGCCTAACTGTCTTTCTAGTTGTTCCTGAAATATATTTTTCGCCTTATTATCATCAAGTAAAACCCTGAGAGGCTTTCTTACGGTGTCTTTCCTATGCCCAGTAAGCCTCAAACAAATACGCGCTCGCACTAGGGCATGATCTGAATCTAAACATGTGCCCCAGAACGAGCGACAGTCTTCTATCGAACCCGTCCATCGGTGGCTGATGGCAATGTGATCTAGTTGGGTCCAACGTTGAGACGACTTTGGAGGTCGCCAGGTCAACAGATGCTTTTCGTTATGCCTAAAGTTAGTGTTTGCTAAGAACAGGCGGTTGTCTGAGCATGCTTGCAACAGACGGTCACCATTGTCTGTTCTCTGAGCCGCGACACCATAACATCCACCTAGGTGTCTTTCATTTTCACTTAGTCTACCTACTTGAGCATTGAAGTCACCAGCCATTAATACTATATCAGAGCGCCTAGCTTTTTGGAGGAGGTTCGAAAGCTTTCTGTAGAATTCATCTTTCACCTCGTCTGAACTGCAGTCAGTAGGGGCATAGGCTGATACGACGAAGAAGCAACGCGGGTGTCCCTATCTTTCCGAGTCCTTACTGTCTCGTTCAGTCGGACAGCGCACAAGCGACTATCTACTGGGATCCAGTCTAGGAGAGCTAGTTCTGCCTCAACGCTATGCCTACACCAGCGAGACCACGGGAAGCAGCATCAGGGCTACCGGATACACGAAGGGTAAATCGAGCTGCTTCTTTATTTTGACAAGGTGAAATCAGATTAATAATTTTACTAAGATCCTGTATGCGCGTTTCCGAGACGCAGCATACATCGATGGTACGAGATTCTAAAGTCGTAGCTAATGATGCCTGTTGCCCTATTTGACACAATGTCCATACATTAAATGCTCCAACATGTAGTCTAGAACGAGGTTTCAAGAGACCAGGAATGACGTTACGTGAACTCGCGTCGTTTGCATTGGCGGTGCAGCCAGATAAGGGAATGTGAGTAGAGTTAGTCGTAGAGATAAGAGAGATATTAGTGAGTCTAAGAAGGATTTGATTTTGACCAATTTGGTCTCGTGTGCTGTTACGGGTATGAGGGTGGTTGTCACTTCCCGGCTGCTCACACCATGGAAGGTTGTTTCTTGAGGGACCTGAAAAGATAGATTAGTGTTGGTCTTAGAGACCTGGGAGCGTGACCACAGAGCCCAACGGACAACTGCTTGAGGCCGTTCACACACGGCCTTTTTTGAAACGTTTTTTGAGGATTAGCTCCGTTTTTAAAGGCCCTTATCGGTCAATCTTACCCAAGGAGACGGAAATCCGTGAGTTAGGGGTGGTGTGACATGTTTATGGCCGACCTTTTTTAACCCTTCCTTCCTTGTGAGAAGGCAGCATCGCTGCAGATGCTGGTTGTCCGAGGGAAATACCTTACTGCCGTCACACCCCTCTGCAGTCAGCAGTACGACTTCGCCCCCAGACCTTGGGTAGCTGCTTTTAGTCTCATTGTTCTCCAGTCGACCTGCCTGGCATTGTAGGACCTTCAGGAACATATGTTCCAGCCAGTATAGCTCGGTTGGTACATGACGATAGGCAAGCCCGACCACCACGTCAAGGTAGCAGCTACGGTCGGGTGTAAGCGCCCATACGAAACCACTAAATCTGTTCTTGGAATGGGAAATTGCCCAGCTGCCCAAACTAAAGCTGGTGGTTTTCTGAGTGGGGCCATTTTTCTAGCCTTTGAACCAAACTTTTAATACACATAGCAATAAAGAAACGTCAGGAGATGCATACTCGTGTATGTCAGTGATCAACAGTCGGTTAATACGCCTTTTGTTCCATGTGCCTGACCCACGTTCACTACTGGTTTGGAATGAGTATTTTCCGACTCCCCTAATAAATCCTATGTATTCACAACCTGATATAAGCACTGGGCATTCGCTTCTCGTTTTCTCAACTCCGTGAACAAAACTTCAGCCGCAAAAAAGTAGTGTGAAACTCCCCTAACAATGGCTTTACTTGCGTAGCCATTGGGTACCCTTTTGAGATGAAGAGTGCATTTTCCCTCATCTCTGCCATACCAACTCATTTATGGGCAATCTCCCAGTTAATATAAATGCATACAGTTTTTCGGGAAGGTTGTAACTTTGTGATATTAAAAGTTCTAAACATCAAGGTTCTAGACATTAAGACGTTTACATATCATTTTTATTACTTTGCAGCGATAGATGATCTTTTTATTTTTCAGTTAGTGGTCCGTATTCAAGATGATATTTTTGATCATTTTTCAACTTCATTACCATAAAAATTTTTCATTATCTCCAGTAGTGTGTTTCTGTTATATCAATGTTTTCAATTTTTTCAACTCAGACTTCTGACTGGGCTGTATCAAAAAGGGCTTATTTAGGCCATACAGATTCAGTTGAAGATATTCAGTGGTCTCCGACGGAACCAACTGTATTTATCTCTGTCTCTTCAGACCATAGTATACGTGTTTGGGATGTTCGTGCTCCAATATCGAGTGGAAGCATGCTTACAGTTTCAGAAGCCCATCCAGCAGACATAAACGTTGCCTCTTGGAATCGGTTGCAAGCTGTTAATTTACTGACAGGAGGAGACGATGGAACCTTAAGAGTATGGGACTTACGATTAATTCACAGTTGTTACTGCGGTGGAAAAGCGAATAATTCATCTGTACCTGCTTATACGCACTTATTCGATGTAAGTATCACTATTATAAACTTTTATTTTGCTCTAACCGGTCATGTATATGGTGGACATAAGCTGTTATAGTCTCGATCAATAATTAAACAACTTCTTAATCTCATTCACTTGGATTGAATTTTTGGTTTGTGAACATTCTTTTGTGTTTAAAATGATTTGTTTATAACATATGACTGTCACTTTTGCTTGTGAATTATCAAACCCAATCTAACGGTCACATGTAAAAGTATAAACGATAAAGCGATTTGTGAATTCCAGCAGATAGTAGGGTTTTAAATATTAACAAATGCTTCGGTCGGAGTCGAACTACGTTAGCTAATTTTAAATACTTCTTTTGATCTACAATATGAAAAATCCCAGTCAAAGAAACTGGAATCGGTATAACTTATTGACCACGTATTGTAGTTTTTTGTGAGAGCTAATTATACCACGTTATAAAACTATATGATGAGACTATAAACTCGCAGTACTCCGTCGTAATCAACTTGGCACCTGAAACGAATGTGCGCTAACTTCACTGTCTACACCACATTAACACGATCATACAAGATTCGCAAGATGAATTGCAAAAGGTCGAAATAATTTTAGTGACAGTGAAATCAGGCGTAGATATATATTGGGGATATTAATTCGAGGAAAAGTAATGAAAAGTTACGCCTAAAGAAATTCTGAATCTCCAGATTTAGAAAAAGATAGATGACTCGACGTATACCGCTTTTAGGTCCAGGAAAACACCTATTGTTGGACGCCTGCATGTGTCTATGTTCCAGGACCTGTCGTAGTGTGAATATGCGGTCTACTCAGTTACGTCCAGGTCTGAAACCAGCCTGGTTTTCTGGAGTCTGCTCCTGGGACAACCGAGTAAGCAATGCTGTCGTTAGGAAACGGGTCCTAGGTAAGGATTGCCTCGTCGAACTATGCTTTACAAAGTAGGAATAAGTTCGAAGAAAGTTAGTGGCAGCCAAACTAAAATATGGCACAAATCCATGAAATCACTGACAAGTGGATAGAGTCATGTTGATTGGTGTCGACTACGTAGTTTGGGTCCGCAAGATGATAGTTAGTAACCGATGTTTAGAGACCTTGATTGTGTTTGTCACAAGAAGACTTTTGTCCTTTTTTATGAACTGGGACAATCAGTAATTGAGACCAGTCAGACGGGACTACGTCCATTTCCTAGATTCTACCTAAGATCTCAGTCAGTCTAACTGCTAAAACTGGACCGCTGTCCTTAAAAATCTTATAGATTAATCCATCAGGACCTGCTTTTTTCCCTACACTTTAAATTGCCAATAACCTTTTTAATGAGACCAACGATCGGAAGACTTGATATAATTCTCTATTCATTTATTCTGAACACAGGAGATTGGATCGATGGGTAAAACACTTCAGGAATAAATTCAATTGACCTACAGCCACACTTCGGTTGCTCACGATCTCCAGTCATCCTGAACGGCGAATCGATGTTATTCCTCCAAGTCTTTATGAAGTTGAAGGTAGGTTAGCGTTGGTCTGAGAGACCTGGAAGCGTAACTGCAGAACCTAAGAGACAACTGCTTTAAGTCTCACTGTTTTGCATTCGACGTACAGGAACATATGTTCCAGCTAATATAGTTCGGTCGGGTCATCACGATAGGAAATCCCGACCACCACATCAGGGTAACAACTATTGTCGAGATATAACTTGCAACACTGATTGAAATGCAAGTGCCTGTATCAATGAGCCCAAATAATGTGAACTATGTAGATGGCAACATTGTTCATACTTTGGCTTTGAAAAGTACGGATTCCATTCTCAACCAATAAATCGTTTATTCTGACCCGTTCCGTCTGAACAGTACTCATAATCTATCCGCGAAATGTCACGTTTCTCTTCGTATTACGCAAACTGAGACCACCTACCATTACGTTTGCTGTGCATAATCACTAAATTATTTTCCTTGTGAAATCTGTTTTCATTGTTGTTATCATTATTATAGTACGATGCGGTATCTCTATTTGTTTTACAGTACCACAAGAAACCAATCACTTCGGTAGAATGGCATCCAAATGACGCTGGAGTGTTTGTGGCAACATGTGAAGATGATCAAGCTACATTTTGGGACATTAATTTAGAACAACCTGAACAAGATGTAAAACAGTCAACTGACCCAAGTTCAAATGAAGAAGAGGATTTAGGCATACCAGTTCAAATGTTATTTGTTCATGGTGGTCAAACCGAGTTAAAAGAAGCCCACTGGCATCCGCAGATACCAGGACTAACATTTACTACAGCATTGAATGGTTATAATGTTTTCCGCACTTGTAATATTTAAAACCCTCATTATTACCATACACTGTAAATACGACCTGTCTTTCTCTCCGACGAAATAATCTAATGCTACTGTGAACTGGTGTGTTCAAGGTTGATATCGAATTTCCTCAAAACCCAACATGTTTTTCTCACTGATTGATATAGATATTTAGCGTGGTCAACGTGTTCTGTTTCGTCATATATTCTTAGTCTCAAACAACATACAACCTGATTGTGCATTGGCATATAGCTTCTCAGAAATCACTACAAATATGTTACATGCTTATGAAGTGAAAAGTGATTGCATTCGAATGATCTAACCAGTAAAATTTGTTACTTATTTGGTGTGTTTAAATGTATCTTATCGTAACGTGTAATGTGTCTGGCAGTAAAATGTAAATACACTGTACCTTTAAGACATAGAAAAACAAATGAAACTTCGCACAGTTGTTAGTAAACAATCTACTTTATGCCTTGTAAATGTGAATGATTTCGTACGAGTTATTAGAATCGTTGGATATCTGTTGACAAATATTCCACCTTCATACGGTTAGTACACTATTAGGATCATAGTTTTTAGTTTCGTTTGTTACCTATCTTCACAGTACTGGGTATAATCTGTTGCTTAACGAAATTGGCTTATTAGAAATGTCCTCACACAAATATAGAGATTAGTTTGCGAGTTACACATATATATTCTGAATTCTAGGGGCACGTTAAGTGGAGGTTTCATCCTGTATATAGGCCTACAACAACCAGTAGCAAAGTTACTGAAAGCGGTGCTATGATTGTTGTGATGGTTGATAAAGATTAACAGCAGACCCCATGTATAGAGGGGTAGTGGGATGCGTGTTAGGTTGTAGCTTTTCGGCGCGGGTGCATTATTGGTTGTAGAAACTACTGTGTGAGGTCTTACTCTTTGAATAATGATAGTGACAATTTGTTTGCTACATGTAGGGGTGCTGTTGTGTAGTGCCAATGCTAGCAAGAGATTCCATAACTCAAATGAAATTATTTGTAATTGTGGAAATCGGAGTAAATAAAGTAGCAACTAGTTAATTGTTCAGTCATGTCGAGTCGAGAATAGTCGTGTAAAGTGAATTGGTGGTGTGCCATCACTCTACAAGTTGAGGTTACGTCTCTAAAGATGGCTAGAATATGGGCCCGACGAAGAAACTGTGATGAATGCTTTGAGCTGTAGAACCAAATAACTATTTAACATAATTTTCGAATCTAGCAGTGGAATCTGAGGTGGATGTTTAATCTCAACCATGGCCCGTCCGAATGACGGGCGCCTTAGGTCCCAGATCCAAAGATATAATGTAACTGGCGTATATCGAGACATACCCTTTGTTGGTACTACGTTAACAAATCAAACCCTCGCAATAATCACTACAATTTTTGTTCATTTTCTTGATGTTTTTAATTTGTACACGTGCATACGGATTGATTGTAGTACTAGTGCCTAGAACAACAGCAATACGACATGTTGAGAAAAATTAACAGGCATATTTCCTCAAACCGTTCAAAAGAAGAACAAAGTTGAGTAAATAAAAGCAAAAGAATAGTAATGAAATTGCTAATCACAGATGAAATGAGAGAAAGATCGTCTCAAGTTTCAATACATTTTAGTTAAGGAATTCGACAAAACTGTCTATGTAGAGTAAATATATAAAAATCGGGATATATGTATCGATTATACCAAGCCCTTACTTGCACAAAATTTAGGATACAACACAGAACCTGCATAAAACGGAAATAAACTGCTGAGTACAGTAAAGGTAGCGCAACACATTGTCAAGCGTAGGAAATATGTAGGTGGGTACATTAGATTGTCCCAACAGGAATGACTGATTATATATCCTTCATTTCAGTTTTATTAGATAAATGTGAACTTTTATGAAAAAAAGGAATGGATAGATAATTTGATAAAAAGAAGCTATAATTTTGAGCCTTATTTAAATTGAATAGTCAAAATACGGGATAACGTGCTGAATTGTATAAAATATAATGTATTGACAATTTATGCAACAAAGAGAGAGGATAACAATAATAGGAGAAACACAAAGATCACATCAATTTTCGCCAAGACTGTAATAATGATTAGGAATCATTAGAAGCTTATCCTTCGGCTACTTTATATCATTGAGTATGGTAGCATCGGATCATTTATGTTGCTGATGTAGCATCAGATAAAAGTAACCCGATTTTCAAATCATCCATATTCGGTAAAACAACTAAATGCTATTAAGCAACAGAAAAATAGCATGGGATGTGAATATGTAGCACACAATATAACTTCAATGAATGGAAATTCGTATTAAAGTTAAAAATTTATTTAGGTAGTTACAAAGATACACTTTTTCATTATATTTACACAACGCTTGGGATACAATATGATTGATTTAACTGAGTTCAATGCATGGTTGAAACTGCGTTCATTCTAATAGTACGTTTTATGTAAAATGTATGAAAATTAACATTTTGTCTACTTTAAAAATCTCATTACTTTCAATCAATCCGATGGTTGATAAGAGCTGAGTGTGACTACAAGTGAATCCTTAGAATCCGTACTGACGCATCTTTGTAAGAGGGGTCCTATGGTGATATTAGTTCTACAGAATCAATCAGTGGTGTACTTATCTTGAATAATGTCTACTGTATGTTTTAGATACGCCTTTTTCAATATTCTGTTCTACAATTAGTTTAGTAGATTATCCAAGTAGGAAGGCCAAAAAGCATACACACCTTTTGGTATGCCACTGACAATCAGACGAGTGGGCTGAGTATTTCGTCAGCACGTTTAAAACAGTTACTAAAAGCTGGAATGTAAGTACTGAAGTATTATCACGATTATTCAGGGGTCGATATCACATAAAATATTGGCCAAACAACCTACGGCTAATGCGATCGATTCACCATACTATTCTTCCTACACTCAACGGAATTCGAACGACAGGAGACTTCACATTCAACATAAATGTTTCGGTGTTTGTTTGGAATTGCAAATCAGAATAGGATACACGAATATTTGATTGTGTATAGCAAGTACTGAATATAATAATTTGATACTAGAAAAAATAACTCTTCAATAAAGAAATACGCCCGAATAAATTCATCACCTGGAATTCAAGAATCATTTTTTTTTCGATCCATTCCAATATACGTGACATCGTAACAACTTTTTCTCCAACTCGAGGACGTGCTTTAAGTCGAAGATTAGGCACAGGACGAAAACCATACCATAGACGATCACTTGGCGGTGGAGGAATATTGACTAAAAGCGTACCACTTAGCATTTGTATCTAGGCATTGACAAATCAAAAAGCTGTATTGTAAAGAATAGTTACCGGGATTAAATCGCACAAAAAACTACTGGTATTTCATCAAAAACGTCTCTGAAAATTTAAGTTAGGACGGACTAAGTGATCCTAAAATTAAACAGAGTTCATGGTAAAGATAAGTCTTCTATGATGCCCTGGTCCCAGATCTGATCAAGATACGTTCTTAACCCCCCCCCCCAAAAAAAAGACTGTCAGCGAGAAGGCAAGAGTAGAATCCAGTCTATTTGTCAACGGAATATTATCTATAAATACCCGTCTATATATTCCAGATCCTTAGAGCTATTTCCCGATCAACGATTTATTTTCTGATGAACATCAAATGGTCTACTCGTTTAGCTACATACAACCACTTCACTGTATCAAAATTCAAGAAAAACTGCGAGGGTTTATACCAAAACACCTTGATCTTTCCAGGAGTACGAAAACTGGATGGTAGATTTTCCAGCCGTATTACCGCATATTGTAGAAATCAATGCTTGAAGATTTACATTGATAAAGTTAAAACTCGATATTACAACCTCTTAGTTTATTTTTCTGGTTGTTATTGAATTTTTGAGGATGCTCTCTTATGACGTATAGAAACTTGACTAGGGGCAGGTTACATTGTTTTCTGTAATCTTGTACTTGTCAGTCGACAGTAAAAAGTTGATCAAAGGACAAATTCAAAAACGACTTCTTAAAATCGTTCACACAGTCATTTACGTCAGGTTTCTTGCTCAGAGTAAGAAAATGACATACCTCAACTTGTAATACAATCGGTGTGTTTGACAAACGTTCCATACCACGTTGAACTAGTTTTGTATCAACAGCTCTTTGAAAGTATGACGATTTGGTGATACGATCAACAATGCGTATAATCCTTCGACGAGATGGTAAAGCAGGCTGTAGATTTACTGAACTGAAATACATAAATAATTTGTTTAAAGCAAATAAATAAATCTGTTAAATCAAAGTCATACTACTGACTGGAACAATACTGAAACATTAAAACCGAGAAATTCGTAAAATAAAACGATTTTTTTTCAACCTATTGTATCACCAGAATTTCAATATAAAACATTATAAGTTGTTGTTAGGACGTTTTATTATAGTGAAAATTAAGGAATACACAAACTTGAAATGCTTGTTTCAATTTTGGCAAAATCGTCCATATTGTTTGGTCACAGAAATGAAGAGGAAAATTTACTGTGCTTTCTGAATCATGAATCGGTAAATTTACCTTCTAATTCGGGTAACCAAGTTATAAATAGAAGTCACTTGAGGAGGGTTATCATTAAGAACTAGCAACAAATGACATAACTTTGCAAGCAACTAAGGATCAAACAGATAATCAGTCAAGGCTTTAAAGTTTCCAGGAGATAATTAGCTGATTGATGTACTCAAAATCCGAACTCTGAGCAGCAGGTTTGGGAACTCCACTCCAATGACCTAAGTTTGACTAACTTTTAAATATTAAGTATGACTTAAAGCTGTACTTGGTTAGAGTTGGGATATTCATGAACGCCGAAGCTGGTGGTGAGTATATGGATAGGAGGAGGGTTAGGAAAGAGGAAAATACAGCGTAACGAAATGTTTGATCAAATTAGGATACATACGAACTATTTAATTCATCTATATGAAATCTCACAATATAATAAAATTCATTGTTAATGCTTATTTAGATTTATAAAATTCAGTTGAATCTATAGTGACCGGTGTATAAAACATATAGTCCTTGCGAGTTTCGAAAAAACCAAATGTTGGGTTAACAACCTTAAATTGGTCGTTAAGAAAAATCAACATAACATTGATACTGTTACTTATAGAAGAAATAGTTGTTCACATGTGATGAAAACAAAACACTGAAGGTCAAACTAGGGACGATAGAGATATTTAAAAAATTACCACAATAAATTTAAAACAAACAAATCTAATTTGGCTGCATCTACATCACAACAAATGATTGTGAATGAAAACTAAAACTACCGTCTAAGCTTAACTATTAGTACTGAAAAACTACATGAAATGGTGGCTTCGTGGTTAAAGTTTTTAATCAGAATACTATTCTGTTGGGTAGATCTTGCAAAAACAGTATAGCTCAAAGCTGAACATGTAAACAAATTACTTTGAACAGAGGTGCGCGATCATACACAGAAGAAAGGTTAAAATAGAAGGCAGAATTTAGTATTTCGCAATACTAATTTAGAATGGTTTCAAAAATGTGTAACTAATTTAGAAGATAAACAAAACACCGGCTACATTGTACTTAGTCATTAAATTCAGTCACTTATACGCAAATTAGAACCTGACATACTAAATTTAATCTATATGAAACGTTTAAAGAAATATTTTTATTAGCAATATCATTTCTTAAGGAGTTATAACGACATCTCAACGGAACTAATGAGCGATAATTACCACTACGGTTACCGCTGAGATGATAGAGATTTGTAGCTTAGGAAGAGAATCTTTGAAGTGTTTTGTGATTAAAAGTCAAGTACATGCGGCTACAACAAAAAACTTCAGGATTCAACCATCGAGCTCAGAGAATATGATGAAAATTTCAGGTATTTAATCCCGAAAAGGATTCAAAAGTTCCCTTGTCATATGATGCTGAAGCTGGCTGCACTATTTTAAATTGACCAGATAAATAAATAATCGTTGCAGTTGAACAAACGTTTGTTTTACAGCCGTACTAGGGTAGTTAACCTTTAAGTTACTGATCTCAGTTTTGCCGTTCAACAATTTAAAAATGTAAACTTAATGTTATTAAGTGAATGAAATACTTAAAACTTTTTGTATGATAAAAGTAACCTTTTCATGAGAGAGGTAAGTTCGAATGACAAAAGAAATCCCTATTTCAGGTAGTCTTCAAAACAACACAAAGATCCAGAACTTTGTAATAGCAACCTTTAAACAAATACTGTTGAGCTATGGAGAAAGTAATCTATATGTATTAATAACCATATTATGCCAACAATTACTAAACACTGTTATTTGTAGTAAACAGGACACACATGCAAACTAATAAAATAAACGCTAATCATACAATTAAATGTTTGATATTCAATTATTGGCTATCAACAACTGCATACACAGGTGAACCGCTTGATAAATGAAATTCTTTTTAACTACTAACAAGTTTACCTTTGAAAAAATTAATCATTTCAAAAATTTACTAACTGCTTAATTTTCAAGTTATTTTTAAAAGGGATGGACAGCTTCGAAAAGAAAATTTTCTTTAAATAGGTGTTTTTTCTTACTTATTTTAGCTATCGTTCACATTTAGTCATAAATACATTTACAATAGCATGCATGACAGGCGTATGTAAAGAACCATTGGGTATTTTATCACTTTTATTTTCGTAATCTTTGACTAATTACTGGTTTTCTGATAATCCGTATTTACTCAGAGTAATATTCTGTACTCAAATGTTACTACTATTTTCGCTTAGTTTAATGTTCAATGCTTTTCGTCGAGTAGTTTAGATTTAATAATCCTTCCTATAAGGAAATAATCAATTTTCCCAATCCAGACAATTTAGTAATCTCAGTATCAATCTCTGCCATATTCAGAGTTTCGAAATCACATCATATGATCCACTGCAACATAAGTCTTCTACATTTATTTGCCACATTCTACAAACCGCTGAGTGTAAAACACCATTTTATTGACAGACATTTCTACTGCGATATAGAAGGCCCAAGTTGGCAAATACCTAATGTGATATAACTGTAACTGTACAAATTTTTCTCTAAGAACTGATCTATCAGAAATGATAAGTAGAACGAGCAGCCTTCATAAACAACACATGAGATATCCATTGTGGATGACAGTTTGTTCACGGACGTGCTAGGGAAAAGGAAATTTAACAGATTTATTGAAGACTTTACAGCGCGAAAATAACTATCTACTGTCATATAAATTTCAGAGTGCCTGAACTATTTATAAACATAGTAAAAAAACTTGTAACGGCGACACCGCAGCAGGTCGCTGACGAGTTTTCAGTTAGATAAACGAAGGATTTTACCTGCTCACTACATCAGCTAGATGAGGTTAATTGATTGAGCGTATTTAGTGAGTGTGTGTAGGTTAAACTAGTGAAGCTTATTATCTAAACTGAGACATGTTCCGAATCTTAGAGGCCTCCAACAATTGGTTTAAGGCCACGTTTTAGGAGACTAAGGACAACATTTCATATTTTCGACTAGTGTAGATTTAACATGATAAGTAATATATATTGTCGACAAGAAAAGAGGGAAGCGAGAATGAAGTTTGATAGTGAGTCAGATGAATCCCATTCCTGTTGAACGCATCCAAGCGGGTGATATTTATCAGTTTTCCACATCACATAAAGATCTAAAAATAAAAATGGATTAGCATAAAAAGTCTTATGAGCCGGAATAATGACCTACAAACGAGCAGTATTTGTTGTGCTAGTTTGGTGCTTAACAGACCTTTATCACCAAAACAGAAAATCCATGAAGGAATAGCAAGTGTCATCCCCATAGATAAAACCTTCATCGAACCAGCTTGTTTCCGCAAACCATTATATAACAAAAACCGTTCGCATTCATTATAAATTTCTCACCAATGACACTAAAATGTTTACGTAAATTATTTAACATTGATAAAATTTATAGTTTTCTTGAAAAAAATGATAATGAGTAAAACAAATATAAACCAAGAGTTAAAAATACACTGAAGAAATCAGAAAGGAAAGAGCACCCTAAATGATGAACGATATATTATTCCTCCTTATGACAACAACATATATTCTTCAGGTGGTGTTATTCACCATTCTGGATTGTTTAATCAGAGACACACACACACACAAACACGCCTAGCTAAACAAAAACGCAATGATATGTTGATGAAGATGTAATTAAATATTTATGTGTAATTTAATGATGGAACTAAATAATGCGCAGAAATGAAAACAAAATGGTGAACAAGTAAGGTATGATTATGTATTTGTGTTTAAGCAGGGGAAGAGGGTTAATTCACAAACAATTAGATTATCACTAATTTAGTTGTCCATCTAAAGATTGACACATACCGGTTTGATGAAACTGAAGAAAGACGATTAAATGACCTAGACAATATTTACGTAGATATATATGGAATCAATTAAACAAAATTAGCTCTGTACTGACGTGACCTGACAAATAGAAAAGTTGACTAAAACGAAAGCAAATATATCAAAAATCTACACATTTTTAGTTTTAAATAAAACAATAGGAAATCACTTATAAAAGCATGTATTTACAACTCAATTCTTCAAACACCGACTGTACAACAGAAATCCATTATGATTTGTTTTATTTACAATCTAAGTTTCTAAAATTTAGTCATTGTTAGATGCGAAATTCACTATATGACAGCAAAGTCGATAGATCGTTCAACATATTCAACTTTTATTTGTATTAGCTTAGATGTTTTTAAATTTTAAATGATCAATATTCTGTTTACTCAGAACAAAGTTGTAATTAATTAAAAGACATTTCTTGTGTAAATCTTATTGTAAACAAAAATCTCTCCATATGAAGCTGCGTACGACCTGACGAGAAAACTGATGAACAAAATTGTAATAAACAGAATTAGAAATCTGAATGTCTACAATTATTATGTTTTAGTCAAAAGAATTATTGTTGATTAACTCCAAGCGACTGGTAGAGAACTATTTTACCGTTAGCTACTCTAAACTGTATTTTATTAATGTAATTCTGAATTATGAACAAGTTAATAGATGCAAAAAGCCGCGAAGTCGGTTTATATATATATTATTTCATTCTCTTCTTTTGTATTATCACCAACCAGTTTCAACTATAATATATTTCGAGTGTATGGTGTGTATGGTCTACCTGCTATTGTGTAATATTTCAAGTATTTACAAAAACTTGTGAACTTCAATTCATTTACAATTTTAAATGCATATTCTTGACACTCGTAACAGTTAGTGCTAATCCTAGTGTAATTATGGGACTTTTATTTTATCGTAGGTTTCCATTCTAGTGTACTTTGTTCCCACTTTCGATGATTGTCTGCCTTTGTAATCGCGACAAAGCTATTGCCTGTCATAGTCTGTCCTATGTTGTTGTGAATGACGTTTACATTTTCATTTAAGCAAGCATTCTTCTTTGACTGTACACGAATGCGTTATATGCTGAAGGCACTTGACGAATTGGAGTTTGTATTTTTCGTAATAACAGTGTTATATTGTAGATAATTTTGCGTTTTCGACTGCCCGATTTTATGCATCTCTTAATAGTGCGGTCAGACACCCAGAGTTTAAGTGAGGTCGTCGATGAGTAGTATTGATATATCTTATACCGGGAGGAAACAGATGTTTAGTGGATCATATTCTCAGTGATAGCAAAAATAGATTCAGTTTATGATGTAAACAATGAAATTCAACAAGCCCTAGAATATCCTATCATAAGAAGCATATATAAGCAGTTAAAACAGCATATAAAGATATAACTTTCAGTAGAAGAGACTTTGTCCAGTACGTATTTTAAAAAGTTAATACGGATTTAATTTCACAATGATGCAATAATTTACTCCAAGCAAAACAACAACCAATTGTAACAACCCTTTACCTGTTATCTTCAGGGTTACAACGTTCACTATCACCAGATTTCACTCCACCCACGATTAATCCAGTAGATGATAAATTACGTCCAAGTCGTAAACTATTTATCGGACTGGAATTTTGGCTAACGTTGCTTGTTTCATCTAATTCCGAGTCAGTTGTTGAATCAGCACTGTCTTCTTCATCAGACATGTAAGCAGCCATCTTTGTTATCGAACGAGAATTAACTTTCGGCATAGATTCGTTCGACAGTGAAGTTTGAGTATAATTATCTAAGAAAGAGTTGAAGAAAAGAGAAGGGTTTGATTTAATTATATTTTTAGCTTTTGTAAAATATTTTAAAGAACATAGAGATGTAAGAGTAGTTTAAACTACATATAAAGAAATCTTGAATGATAACAATTGCAGCTGTTGATTATCATCGACGCTTTGGCTGAATTCATATCTAACCTTATAATTATTTTTTAGCGACCTTGTCACGTAAGAACTCCGCCAGTAGAACCTTAGGGGCTACTGCAGGTCCCAAGCCCAGATAAAGGAGGGGGTTGGCGACCTCATTCCGTCGAAAACTAACTTGCCGAAAAAACGCTAACCAGAAAAAATAATTCAAACCATTTTAATTCTGCCATGGGAGTTCGAAGAAGAATTATGACGTCGCGTGATGAAAGCCGAGTTCCCTCAGGAGTCACGGGGCCGATGCCTCTTCTGACAACCACAGCAACCATTCTTTTATCTACATGGAACGTTCGTACATTGTACGCGACCAGATGACCATTTCAAGTTGCTGCAGAAATGAAAAGATACAACCTCGAGGTGCTCGGCATCAGTGAAACGCTTAGGACACAGGTTGGACAACTGAGATTAGCTTCAGGGGAACTGCTGATATACTCTGGTCATGAACAGGAAAATGCTTCACATACACAAGGAGTTGCACTGATGCTGTCCAAACATGCACAAAAGGCACTGATAGGATGGGAATCTCATGGACCCAGGATCATAAAGCATCCTTCAAAACAAAGAAAGAAGACAATACAATGAACGTCATCCAATGCTGTGCACCTACCAATGACTACAATGACGACGATAAAGACCAATTCTACGAAAAGCTGCAGTCAATAGTCGACAGACGCTCACCAAAGGATTTGACCATTCTGATGGGAGACCTCTTGCAAAAATTGAAGAAAGGAGGAACAAGAGGGCAGCAATCGATGTCAGCCGAACAAGAGCAGAGAAAGTTAAGGCACAAGCTGCACACACAGAAGTAAACAGGGAAGTGAAGAACAGCATCAGAGCTGACAAATGAAAATAAGTG